GATAGAGATAGAGAGAGAGAGATAGAGAGAAAAAGAAAGAGAAAGACAGAGAGAGAGAGAGAGAGTAATGCTTTTTTGCTCGGTACGTGGGGGATCCAACTTGGTCCGTGCAGCTTTCACGCCCCAGCCCAAGCGCTCCACGAAATGGGGGCCCAAGTGGCCGGGGGACCTGACGTGCTCCCAGAACCCTGAGGAAGAAGACGGAGAGAGAGAGAGAGAGAGAGAGAGAGAGAAATCAGGAGAGAAGAAACGAAGGCACTTTCCGGGCGTTTATTGCGGGCCGCGGCTCGAAGTGCGGCGCTCGAAGGCACGGATCACCCGCAACGCTCTCAGCGCGACAGAGGCCGGGTCGGGCCAGAGGCTGTCCTTCTCTCTTCATCTGTTTGCTCTCTGCCCTTTGGTCCCAGTTTGGCACAGGGTGTGGTGGCCTTCTCCGTGGCAGCGGCTCAGCAGCTGGGCTCCGTCGTCTCGGACGTGGCCCAGGCTTCTTGAGAGTATGGCGAAACGTGGCCGCCTGGCCGCCTCACTCGCAGGCGGCTGGAAGCTTCACCAGCAAGCTGATGGGCCTTGGCGTCTTCCTTGCTCAGGAATCTCAGGCCGGGGTAAGCCCTTTACTTCTCGGCGAACAAAGAGACAAAACTCAGGTCTGGGCCGAGAGGGGTTCGGGCCTTGGGTGCGAAAAACTCGCTAGCTCTTTTCTGTTTCGTTTTCTGGCTCTCAGGAAGCCAGGGCCTGGAAACCTTGAAGGCCAGGGCCCCGCAGGAAGGGCGTTGGGCTAGGCTAGGCCGCTAGGAGTGATGAGGCCTTCGTCGATGATGGCGGAGGCGGAGCTGCGCCGACTCGCAGACTAGTGGCGGCAGTGGCGGTAGCCACGGTCTCGTTTCGGAGGAGACTCCGAAGAGAAGAGCCTCAAGGACTTCAAGCAGGAGGGCACCTTTGAGAAAGCCGTGCTGTGGGTTGGATTAACGGATTGCTGTCGCAGGCATGGGCCGAGAAGCGTCTGGATGCCCAGAGCATGCCGTGTTTCCGGCCGACATGGCGGTCTAACGGGTTCTTTGCAGGTGCTTTGGCCACCAAGAGCTTGGAGGAGCTGAGACAGGCGGCATTTGAACTGGGAGAGGAGGACAGGGCTGCGCTGCTGCGCTCGCCGTGTCAGGCCAGGAAGGACCTGGAGGAGGCCCTGGCGAAGGAGCGTGAAGACTCGGACTCGGAGAACTGAGCTGGGGGCTACATGCCGCTTCCGCTGCTTCCGCTGCATCAGCTCTTTGAAAGAGCAGAGAGCGCAGCTGAGCCGCGGCGCCGAGCGCACGTGCGGTGCGGCTGTAAATCGAAGGTTTCAGCAGTTTCTCAGCGCCGCTACAGAGCGCTCCTCCCGTCACCAGAGAGCAAAAATCGGAGTGCAGGCACTCTGCAGCCCGGCATCGTCTTCGAGACGACGGCTCACAGTCGCTTTAGGGCCAGTGCTGCCGGCCACATAGCCGCGCAGGAGGATTCCATGCCTGCGTAGGACAGGGAAGCAACGCAGTGATAGGCCCGTCAAGAGCAATCTGCCGAAGAGGGAGCCCCGCAGAATCATTTGACTGTCATCGGGTTGACAGCATGTTGCATCGCTTGCACAACTGAACTGTGTCTGAGATCTGAAGTGCTCAGATGCCCTTTCAGAAAGGGAAGAGTCGGAAGATCTGCCTGACATGTCGGACAGATTCGGACAGTCGAAGGGAACGGGACCTCCGGAGAAGCGTGGGCTCGAGCGGAGGGCTCGCGGATCCTCCCATGTCATGGGGGAAATCGATGGCGAACGAAAACGCCCGGAACGCCAGCTGCCAGGAGCTTGCAATAGTGTGTGCAATTGTGTGATCCCAGGCCCTGCAGAGGATGCACAGGCCCCGCTGGCGCTGCGTCGTGCTGATGTGCGGATGTCAGCTTCTCCTTTCTGTCCTTTGGCTTCGAGGCCGATGCGGATGCGGCCGTGGAGACGGCGCAGTCCAAGCAGACCGAGAGACCACGGAAGCGCAGGTGAGTGCAAGCACTTGCTGTGGAGCTCTGAGCCACGCTGTCTCTCCGACTCTCCGCTGCCGCTGCTCTCCCTCCAAACCCTCCTCTCTTCTCGCAGATGAGCCCTCCGCAGCCGCTTAAGGCTCTCTCTTCTCGCTCTCTGTGCTCTGCGAGGAGCGGCTGGGACGACGTCGGGGACGGCTCGCAGGCGCTCCTCCCGGCGCTCCTCCCGGTGCTCCCGCCGCAGCTACTGCGGCCTCCGCTCTCGCCAGGCGCTGCCTGCGGCACCGCCCAGCATCCCCATGTCTGTCTGGCGCCTGGCGAGCGCTCGAGCATCGAGCCCCTTTCGTAAACTGCACCGGCTCGCTTCTAAATAATGCAATGATGCAAGGAATACATGCATCGGGGGGGGGTGAAACACTGAATGTTACACAT